CTTGTGGGACTGCAAAATGGTATATCTCCTCTGAAAAGGAACTGGACAATATCATATATATATCCTAGAGTGCCATTTCTGGGAGATGACCCTGAAGTTACACCCCACAAATGCAAAACAGCATATGCATGCAGCTGTTGACTAGCACTGTTGGTCATAGTGAAATACTGGAAATTACCTAGTCACCCTTGCATAGGTAACTGGCCAGCTTAGCTGTGAACCATCCTCACAGTGGAGTGCTGTGCGTGCATTGTGCAAAGGTGAGGACGATCTCTGTGAAATGGTTTGGCATGTTAGTAAAACTAAAAGGTGCTTGGCCGAGAGTATAGATCAGGGACAGCGTGCTTGCTTGGCACACCTAAGATCCTAGGTTTGATTCCAATACCATAAGTAAATAACTAATAAGTGCTACACTTTGCATCTGGAAGGGGTCGCAGAGCCCCATGTGTTAAAAGCGTGATCCCCACCCCATGCAACTCCTGGGAAGCGGGGTCTGATGGGAAGGTGTGGCCTCTGAAGGGATGGCAGAGCCCTGGGCTCTCCCTCTCTCCTCTCACTCTCTCTGTCTCCTCTCTGGGATGCAGTCAGTGACCTTTTGCTCCTCCACCATGATAAGCTGCCTTGCCAAAGGCCCTGAAGCAATGTGCCCAACCAACAATGAACTAAAATTTTCAAAGCTGGATGCCAGAATAGACCTGGCCTCTAAGTACATTTATCTCAGGTATCAGCAGGCTAACACAGTAAGGTAAAGAGTTCAGTCAGTCACTTCCTGAGATGCATACAGGATTGGTTCCAGAATTTACTTTCTTTTTCTTTTTTCTTTTCTTTTTCTTTTTATTTTTATTTTAGGGAAGGATCTATAGTGTGTTCAGAGTTTCACTACTAGATCGGACTGGTAGCGACCTGCCTGTTTACAGCCTCCCAAGAGCTTGGATTACAGGCATGCACCACCATGCCATCTCAATTGCTGTTTTATCACTCCCCAGGGACGGAGCCAGCATGGCAGACCTGGGGATCCAACCCCCAGCCCCTGTGCCTGCTTGCAGGCTCTTTAATCTGCTGAGCTATTTGGCCGGCTCTCCAAATACACTTTTTAAAAAAGGGAAATGAGGAAAGACCAAGTAGTCCACCACCCCCCCCCCACCCCCCCCCATCACTTGCATGGAGCACAGCAATGGCTCCAGATCTCGGACTGAATTCTGCAGTCTCAGGTGTGCAGACGCCCTCTACATGCTTCCTTGTCTTACTCTGTGACTGGTTTGTTTTTCTGTACTTTAGGGAAGGGTCTACAAGGCGTTCAGGGTCTCACTACTAGATCAGACACGTAGTGATCCGCCTGTTTTACAGCCTCCCAAGAGCTTGGATTACAGGCACATGCCACCGCGCCCAGTCTCGATTGCTGTCTGAGTGTGCCCCGGGGGTGGCAGGCCTGGAGATCGGACCTGGTCCCTGAGCCTGCTTGCAGGTGCTTTAATCCACTGAGCTATTTAGCCGGCCTTGTTTTGTTTGTTTTTTGTTTGTATATGTGTGCAGGGTCTCACTACGCAGCTCAGACTTGTAGCGATCCTCCTGATTTGTGCCTCCCTAGTGCTGGGATTACAGGTGCACAACCACGCCCGGACTCCATCACCAGCTCAGGGTGCCCCAGACGAGGCCAGCGCAGCATGTGATACCAGAGATCAAGCCCTGGCACCTGCGCTTATCTAAGCAAGTGCTTAGTCTGCTGAGCTATATTGCCTGCCCTTATGACTGACTGTTATAAGCCAATCTTGTAATTTCTTATACATTTGTACATCTTGAGTTGTATCTGTTCCTCTAGTAAAACCCTGACTGATACTTGGGTTTAGACACCAGGCAGAGGGACCAACCATGCAACTGCTCCTGAGACATCAAACAAGGCAGAGACATTTGCTACAGTGAGTTATTAAAATGTGGTTTGTGAAAAACAAAAACATACCCAGGTGTGGCGGCACACACCTGTAACCCCAGCACTTGGGAGGCTGAGGCCGGAGACTGGTTGTGAGTGCAAGGCCAGCCTGGGCTACATAGTGAGTTCAAAGCCAACCTGCACTATATGAGACCCTGTCTCAAAAATAAATACATAAATAACTCCTGCCTACATGCCAGTAACATCTAGGTCAGTTTAAAGGACGAGGATGGAGACTTGAGACCTGCCATAACATCAGAGTCTCCCAAGTGACACCAACAACATTTGGCCTACTGGTTATGCCTCCACCTTCCTGCACCTTCTCCCACTTACGGTCTGGAAACTACAGTCTGTTACTTTATTGGGTCCTGTCTCCCCAAGTGCATTTTCTTATTTGGAGCTTGTTAGGGAGGAGGCAGCACTTAGTGACATTTTTTTCAGTGAGGAATCCAGGACCTCATGCCAGCACTTGCCGGGCAATGCACTGCCACTGAGCTACATCGCCAGTATCTTATGAATTCTTTTTTTTTTACGTATTTGGTTGTTACAGTGTCTCAGCTCAGACTCACAGTGATCCTCCTGTTTTTCAGCCTCCCCAGTGCTGGGATTACAGGCATGAGCCACCACACCATCTCCCTCCCCCAACCCCACTCTGACTGACCCTGGGGGTGGAGCTTGCACTGCTTGTAATGCCCCGATGGAACAGCAGTCCCTGTGTTTGCATACGCTTGCCTACGCAGGAGCTTTAGTCTGCTGAGCTATCTTGCTGGCCCACCTTTTGAGTTCTTAATATATTCTTTCAAAGGACAGTGATCAGATTAAAGGCTATAAAAGGAAATCCAAACCAAATTTTAAAAGCAGGAGAGATGACATAGCTCAAAAATGCTCATCCCAACCAGATGCAATTGCCTACACTTGTAATCCCAGGTACTTGGGAGGTTGAGGCAGGAGGATAACAAATTCTAGGCTAGCCTGGACAATTAGATATAGTATATCTCAAAAAAATATTTTTAAAGGGCTAGTAGTGTGGCTCAGTGATAGAATACTTGCCTAGTGTGGGAGAGGCCATGGACTCAATCCCTAGTAGTGCAGGGAAAATAAGAAAGGCAAAAAGGATAACATCAAGTACACTTACATTTATCTGAAGTTGAACCTGAAGATGAGAAAGCATAAGAGAGGGAGAAAGTAGGAATCCAGTTGATCACCTCCACGAGTCTCATCCAGTCATCAGCAAGAGTTGCTCACCGGTGACTAGGCAGAGAAACCCAAAACCAGTGTCGGTTCTGCTGGATGGCAAGACAGCCCGCCCCAGCTAACCGCTGAGTCAGCACTTTCAGCAATAAGGCAGCGTCATATAGACTGGCCATAATGTCAGAAAACAAAGTGTTCCCTCATGCCATTCTCCTCTGGTTACAGAGTCCTGAACACTGCCACGGGGAAAGCTGAGAACTTCTCATCACCTAACACATTTGCAAAATCCCATTGGCTTTAACAAACTGTTCCCCCAACACCTGGCCTGTACTTTCTTCCCTACACAGCCTGTGCTATATCATATTCAGAGGGCACTTCTAGGCTCTCGTGTGCCTGGAAAAATAGCCATCAGCTGTCAGAATGGCTTAAACCCACCTCAGCTCTGGTGAAACACTCACCTCAGGGAAACACAGAGACCTGATTGGTCAGATTTAGTAAGTTTTAATAAAATCCAGGTGAAGGAATGAATCTATCTGGAAAAACAGAAGAGTTTTACAAGCAGCTTCATGAAATAAATATTTCAAGAGGGGGAGGAAGAAAAGGTATAAAACCCTCCATATTACTGTAGAAGGCAAGGAGGAATCAGAATCCACAAATAGGGAACTTTCTGGGAATCCCAGTTTAAAAATGTCCAAATGTCGTGAGATTGTACCCCTGCCCACAGTGCCCCAGAACCTTGATGCTTTGTGTTGAGGTTTAAAAATTCATTAACTTTTATGATCCTTCATTCAACGTACCCAAACACCACAGACTAGAACATCACGGAGCCAACATATCTAGTGTGTGTCACTCTGAAGGTGAAACACAAGGGACACTACTCTTTAAGTCTGAGTGACCCATCCCTCATTCCAAGCAAGGTCTGCTGTATTTTGTGTATATAAATTCAAGGCCGTGTTTGCAAGTCAAGAGAGCTCCATTTGTCATGTGTGAGTACTCAGTAACCTATAGGCATGCTTCTTATAGAACCCTCATATTCCCACATGGGCTTTAGGTTGGAAACCCTAAGCCCCAGAATGTCTCTGCAAATAACAGGGCTCACCTTCCCAAGGCTGCAAGCAGCTAGAGAGCTAGAAAGAGAATGGCTCCCACTGTGGAAGAATCCAAAAGATGGGGCAAGGCCACAGCCTGAACAAACAAATCCCCCGAGACTTTTGTTTGCCCCTTTGCAAGCTCTGCCGTGGCTTCCTGACTCCCCAAGGAGCCTCTGCCCCGACTCCCAACACAGAGGCACAGCAGCACACTCCATGAGATGAAGACCTACGTTAACTCCTCAAAGGGATGTTTTAGAAGTCCGTGGCAAAAACCCAATCCAAATATAAAGTGATGCTTAAGTAAGAACAAGCTATGACTGCAGCTTTATAGACTCAAGATTTCTCTATTAAAATCCTACTACTAAACAGCTGTGAAATTAACCCAGCATGTTTCAGTATGCTTCTATTAAAGGGACCTCCCCACCCCAGGGGCCGGCCAGCACTTGGTCCATCTGCTCAAGGCCCTGCCTTCTGTCCCCAGTACTAGGGCGGGGTAAGGACCACTCTAGAATCTTCTGTGGTGGGCCACTTTGTATCATAAAACGTTTGTCAGCTTCCAAGGGACAGATGTGTAAGAAGGAACTTTCTGTTCATACTCCTTCGACATGAAGATGGGCAGCTGAGAGATAAATTTGGACACAGCAAATGTCATTTTCAACTTCCTGGGCAAGTGATTTAAGCACAAAAGCATTTAAGGTAGGAGCTAGGTCAATCAATCTTCATTTGAATACGTACGAAGTCGCTTATTCCCCATACCCACATCTCTCAAACAGAAATAAACAAATCTCAAGCCAAGTTTGACACATTTTTTATGTACAAATAAAAGGGTCAGTGGTATAGGTGGAATTACTTTATAAATACCTGCAGCAAGTCCCCTAAAAAAGATGTGAATTTAAAACTCTCTCAGCACAAGGGCCTATCCCTTCCCAAGACCACTGTGACCTTCTGGAGAGAGAGCCTCTGGGGAAGAAGAGCCTTTAGGACCATCTCCCCAAAGGACAGAGGTGACCTGAAGGTCATCTGGTGCCCAGACTTGGGTGTGATTAAACTGTTTCTTCCCAAGCTATAAGGTCTTTGTCAGGCTGCTGATTAAGCGGTCTCTGTTTCCTGGCAGTGGCCCAGAGCGAGGGAGGAAAGGGACCTACAATAGTGTGAGGAAGTAAAAGACTCTGGGTAGGTTGATTCAAAAAGAAAAAAACACATGGTAATCAGTGGAACGCTGTCCAGCCCATGTATCAAATTCACCAGAGGGAAAACCTGTAACTTAGCATTCCGGAAACTACACAGGTGAGCGATTCTTTATGACGACCATTACTTAGCACCAATGTCTATCTCTCTGGGACTTTTCCCATTGCCTTTGAGCCCTTGGCTGTGGCAGTGCTGTTGGGGCACACTGGGCGATACTTTCCATCAGTACCACAGCTGGGCATGGCGGGGTGCAGTCACCACCAGAAGACAAACAGCCAGCTCACGCCATGGGCCACTCTTCTCAGGGGTTATCCTGATTTGGGGAACACAAGCAGCTCCACAGTCTCCTCCTGGGGGGCTTTTTGTCTCTCCAGGCTGCTGGGCTTCACTCAAAGCGACGCAGGTGGTTGTACAGCGACTGGACGTAGGTGAAGACACACATGGGGTCCGGCTTGTGGCCCATCACCATCATGTCCTCCACTTCGATGAGCCGCTCACAGTTGGCCAGGTTCCTGGAGCAGAGAAGCCCCTATCAGAACACGGACCCACCCAGCAGCCACCCCACTGCAACAGGACCCAAATCCTGTCCCTAAGCACCTGCGTACCACCTATAGAATTCACACACTTCTTTTTTTTTTTATTTACCTAGACTTACTTTTTTCTTTTTCAGTACTATCAACTGAGCCCAGGGACGCTCTGCCACTGTGCCATATCCCCAGCCCCTTTATATTTTGAGACAGGGTTTCCCTAAGCTGTCCAGTTTAGACTCAAACTTGTAATCATCCTGCCTCAGGTGCCCAGAGAGTTGGATCATACCATGCCCAGCTTACAGTTGCTATTTTGACTGAAACACTTACTATATTTAAATTTTCAGTGAAATCAAGTTTATATAACACAATTAAGTCCACATCAACTTCATACAGAAAAGCAGCATGATCTACAAAAAATATATAAGTAATTAAGTAAAAAATAAATTTGCCTCCTAAAACAGTACTTTTAAATGTCTTTAAGAACTACAACCTCCAGCCAAATATGATGATGCCTGTAATCCTAGCACTCAGGAGACTGAGGCAGGAGGATCACCATGAGTTCAAGGCCAGCCTGGATTACATAGTGAGTACAAGACAAGCATAAATGACATAGCAGGGCCAGGGAGATGGCTCAGTAGGATAAGCGCTTGACTGGCAAACACAAGGATCTGAGTTCAAGCCCTGGTTCCGCAAAAAAAAAAAAAAAAAAAAAGACATTCAAAAAAAATAAATAAATAAATAAATGACATAGCAAAACCCTGTCTCAAAGAGCAAAAATTAAATGATAAACAAACAAATAAAAATAAAACTATGGGATGCTTTAACAAAGCAGTCAGGCTCAGGTTGCTGTGGTTCGATCCCCAGAACTCAAGCTAGCCAAACCTGCCCTGAAGGCATTCTGAGCCAGCCAAAAAAAAAAAAAAAAAAATTCTTCTGCCATTAAAGACTCTTGCATTTACTTGAAAATAAACATGGGTTCCTTAAAAAAAATAAAAACAAAAATAAATTTTAAAAAATAAAACTATGATCCTCGGTAAGAAAGATATTTTCCATCCTTTTTTTAAAAATTTATTTATTTATTTGTGTGTGTATGTGTGTGTGTGTATGTGTGTGTGTCCAGCTCAGCCCACCAGGGGGCGGGGCTAGCTGGCATGTGGTGCTGGGGGATTGAACCGTGGTCCCTGTGCTTTGCTAAGCTTGTTCTAAGTCGGTGCTTTAGACCACTGAGCCATCTCACCAGCCCCCGATATTTTCCATCCTATTCAGCACACATGTACATATAAGGATCTACACACACAAGTAGTCTTAAATTGAAAATATTAAGAAAAAACTGCATCAATATCAAACATATGTGTGTGAGTGGGGGAGTCTTTGGTCCCTCATTGTTCCCCAAACCATACAAGATAAGTAGCACTTACATAGCATTCACATTGCATATGGTATTGTAAGTCATGTAGAGATGATTTAAAGACATAGGAAGATGTACATAGGTTGCATGTAATCTATGCCATTTTATATATAGGACTTGAGAATCAGTGGATTCTGTGGGGGTCCTGAACCAATCTCCTATGAATAAGGAAGGATGACTATATGCAGAGACAAGCCATCAAAGAAATTCTAACCTTTATAACCACCTCTATATTTCACAGTTATTTTCCCCTTCCTTTTATAAATTCTGGTCATGAACCGCTAAACTGATAGGCTATAATTAGAAGTTGAAAAATTGCTCAAAATCACCTTAAGCACTCAGGCCCTGGAATATACTGGCTTAAAACTTTCAGCCCGCAGGTGCAGACCTGCAGTAAACCACAACCACTTCTTTCACTGGGCTCAGAGGGAGGGAGGCTGGCAGCCTCAGGAGGTGGAAAGATGAACAATGGTCAAGACAGGCAGCCCCGCACAGCTCAGCACTGAGTCCTGACCCAACAGTGGGCATTCACTGGAATGCAAGCAATACCTACCATATCCTCTAATCGGAAGTGTGTGTGGGTGTCCAGGGTGCAGACCAAACCAGCCAATGCCACACAGAACTGAACAGGTAACACAACTGCCTGCGCACTCATCAGAGCCCGCCCCCTGCAGCTGTGTGCACTTCGGTAGGGCTCCTTGGTGAACACCCCCCAGGCTAATAAGTGTATGAGTGCCAAATCCCACCTGCATCTCTGATACTTAAATTCTACAAGCTTCAGTTCCCCCATCTGGTGTGATAGCCACCTCATATAGCGATACGAGGATTAATGAGCTAATCCATGAAAAGTAGTTGAAAGAGCTCCATGAACTGGTAGGAATGATCACGATTAGTGCTTCTATGATTATGCCTTGCTTTAAGAAGCAGGGTGAATCATAGAGAAAAGAGGCTGAATGGGAAATCTAAACAGGTGGTCTCAGATCCTGGCCCTGCCAAACATCTACTTGACCTTTTTGTGCCCATTTCCTGGACAGGAAATCAGAGCACATCTCTGTTCTCTCTCCCAGTGGGTTTGTTCAGCTGTGCTTCTGCTGTGTGTCCTTATACGCCCTGTTTCCCCAGAGAGCTCCGCCAGGGAAGAGAGCCCAGCAAGCAACCCAGGCTCCTCGGGCTGCCCTGGGGCTTTCAGCATAACTCACACTGCACTTTCCACCGGGACACCGTACTGGGCAGCTCCCAGGGCTGTGCACTCCTGAGACAAAGCCTGTAACATTACCACTGGCCGTGCTCTGTGGTGCTGGCCAGAGGCCAGGCCTCCTATCAGAAACCAAATGTCAAGGCGAAATGGAGACATCTGTCCTGGATCCTGTCCCCGCCCCCCCTTCGGAGTTGGAGCCGGCAGTCTGAAAGGGAATCCAATGGCTTCCTAGAGTGACACTGAGTTTGACCCCATCACTGGGCACCGTTTTGCCCAAGAAAAGGCTGTGGCAGGGTTCAATATCAGAGAAGTCAGCCCTCTGACCTGGGCAAGCATGCAAAGGAGCTTTGTGGACAGGGACTAAGAAATTGGAGTTCTTCAGAGAGCCTGGGGACCTAAATGCACCACACAGAGCCCTCACATGGTATCTGGTGCCCTTCTCCTCACCTGTGTCTCAGAGAGAACCCCTTCTCCCCCTCTCTGTCCTCCTTCTGCTGTTCAGAGGACCCCCGGTGTAGACAAGCAGGCTCTATATGAGCCCAGGTTACCACCACCCCCATGATAGCCTCAGTTGTCTCCCAAGTTAGGAAAAGAGAGCACTAGAATCCCAGAACCTCTGCCTTGGGAAAGAACTCAAATATATCCCATCCTAATCATCCTAATCAAAAGCACATCATCTCTGAGACACTACCTCAGCTTGCTCATCTCTAGGTCTGGAAAAAGGAACCAAAAAAGGTTTTGCAAGCATCATTTCCAACCCCTCTGCAGATGGCTGAGCCATGAGAAAATTGTTCCTTATATGCTTGTGCTATTTTTGCCCCCCATACTTTTACCTGCAATTCTACAAGATCATTCTCAGTGTAATTTGTTTTTCCTTACAGAAAAGCCCTTTACACATCAGAAGAGAACCTTCGTACCCATGTCTGTCTGAAATGGAATCCCTTTCCTGCACTTGTGCTGGTCTTTCTAGTGCCCTTCATGAAGACACAGAGCTGCTAGCAGTTTCCAGGGTCACCCAGCCTGGAAGGAAGGAAAACAGGTGAACCCCTCCCTCAGCAGGCAACCGGGAGATTGGGCCATGATCCAGCTGGTTCCTATTCCACAGCTATTTTTAAATCAAGCAGATGAGAGTATGGGGGTCCTAGAGAAGGGGGATCACAGCATGCAACACACAGCCGCCATCTCTCTGCTCCTCTTTTCCTTCCCCATGCCGCCTCTGCCCTGCACCGCTCTGCCCTGTACTCCTCTCATTTCCTGCTGCTTGCTCTCCTGGGCAGCCCTGAGTTGTCCCTCTGACAGCACAGTGTCCCTGTCTTAGAGGTCACTGCATGGCCCATGCTACAACTGTAGGGGCATTTGCCTTCTGCTTCAGTTGTCCCTGCAGACAGAGCAGTCTCCCTCAGAGACAGGTGCCAGCCACAATGGAAACAGGATTCCTAGAAGCTACAGGCTGAACACAAGTCAGGGGACAGGATACGACAGGATATAGGAAAGGAAATGATAGTAACCACTGACTTTGATCAAAATATTTATATCTCAAAATATCAGCATTACCCTATAATCCCAACACTTTGGAAGGTTGAGGCAGAAGGACTGTAAATTGAAGCCTAAGCCTAAACTGCATAACTTAGCAAGACACCATCTCAAAATAATAAAACTTTTTAAAAAGCCGTAGGCATGTAGCTCAGTGTAATTGCCCTGAGTTTAATTCCCAGTAGTAAAAGAAAAAACCCTGCCCTAATTTATATATATATATATATATATATATATATATATATACCTTTGCTGTAATCCCTCCACTGGGGAGGCTGAAAACAGGAAGATCATGAGTCAAATCTAGGTAGCAAGCCCCTGTACCACATACCTTTAAAAAAGAGCCTTTGTAAAAATGATTCAAGTTTGTTTTAAACAATTCAAACTCCATAGTGAAGTCCAAAGGAGAAAGTACAGAGCACTTCCAGTGTGACAGTAGGACAAGAGCCAAGGTTAGCGCAGCTGTGCTCTCACGGACTTGCTCAAATCCTACCTCACCAGGGCTGGGACAGATGTTTGGAGAATTTTCTCCTATTCTCATCTATTGTGATTGTCAACTACCATAGGGCTGCCCATAAGGAACATGAAGGAGGGGCTTGGGGGTTATTTTTATTTTTTTAAGCCTGCTCTAAATGTAGTCCAGGATACCAGGGTCTGGACTGCTGCCTCCTGTCCAGTTTTAGATCGAGACACATGGGTACTACAAATAGCCTGGAAGCCCCTGCTGCTGGGGCAGAGCCCAAGAGCAGGACACATTCCACGCAGGGCAAGTGGGAAGCCTCAGGCTAGGCATCCCACGTCCTGCACTCCACCCTGGGAGAGGTGAGGAGGAAAGGTGCAGAGGGGTTGGGTGTCTACCTGGCTCGGCCCCGTCCGTACAAGGGGCCGGTCCTCCCTAATTCCAGGCCCTGAACACCTGGCAGGCCAGGGTTGCTCGGCCTGCTGTCAACACCGCATCACTCACACACATTAAACCACAGGAATCTCTGGGCCCCAGAAATCATGGGGCAGGGAGCAGCGCCATTTCTCTCCAAGGTTTCCAGATGCATCTGTGCCTGGAAGGCACCTGTTCATGGGTTTGGGCAACATTTCCTTCCTGAAGCCGGGTGGATGCGTGCTTCAGACCTCACGTCTTCCTGTCCCTTCCAAAGTCCGTGCCTTGATCAGACCCCAGGCTTCTCTCATCTGCTGCTCGCTCCCACAACTGCCATGCTTAGCTCTGTCCCCTGCCCACCTGGCTCTTGATGGGCTTCAACAGCCCTGCATATATGTGCAGATTTTGCTGGCAAATCTAAGAACTATAAACTGAAGACACCGATCACCAAGATCCTCAAGCAGGTGCTCCTGTGCTTTTTCATGGCTTTCCAACCAGCCAATTATAAAACAAAAAAAAAAAAAAAAACAGGAGATTGAAGCAGCTGTCCTCCCAAGAGGCCTCAGAGAGGCAGGCTGTCTTCCGAGCACTCTCCCCTATTACCTGAGAGATAATTTCAGGGATGACTCATAAGAGAAGGCGCCTCCCCAGGCTCTAAGCAAGCTCCACACACAGGCCTGCTGTCGACGCCCCTCCCCACACCTCAGAGTCAGCAAAAAGCCAGACCTTAACTCACCTCCCCCTTCCTACCCTCCTCCCTTCCCCAGCCAGGAGCAGGTTCAGGCATAGGGAGGCACAGCCAAGCTTTTACTCCTGTTTTCTCTGGGAAGAAGGAAGGCAAAGCCGAGACCAGCCTCCAGCACACCCCACCCCCAGGCTGGGAATAGAAGAAACATCTGTTTAGAGTCTGGAGGCTCCGTGGACTCAAACCTCATGTTGGGAAAACACAGCCTTGGAACCGCTTTGGCTCCAGCTGCCAGGGGTGGCTGTGCTCCCTGTAAGCTGGGGAAAGGGGTCACTACCCAATGGCCCATAGTGCCCCTCTGCCTTTGTCCAGAGCTGAGGGTGACCTAGTAGCCAGGGCATGAGCTGGCCCTGCTTAGCCCACTGGACTGAGAGAGCAGAGAACTCTAGCCTCTCCACATGGCCTCCCCCAGCCGCCGGGTGGGCCTTGGGTGCCCGCGTGGGAGCCCTAATCCTGCACATTCTAACAGTCTGGTTTTTGACAGTTGCCATTTCTGAGTTCCAAGCAGCTGGGCCTCCTTCTGGAAGCCCTTCTCCCCCATATCATGCCTCGACACTTGGCAAGACTCCACTGTCGTCTGGGTCCAGTTGCATAACACACTCAGCCAAAGCTGTTTCTGCTATTAGGATGACAACTAATCCCAAGCAGCCAAGAAAGAGAAGGCTTTTAAAGTATACAAGCAGTTCTTATGACCCCAAGGGGGCTGAGAGTCCCGGTAAGTCGTCCAAGACAACACAATGGGCCAATGCTGATATTCCAAATCCTCAGGCCGGGGAGCTTAGAGCCAGATACTCCACTCTGTCCCCAAAGCACGTGGCTATCAGGGCTCCAGGCAGGCTCATAACACTAAGTGTGGGTCACTGTAGCCCTAGTACAACCCCTTCCCAGGCCAGAGTCAGGACCTGGTATGGGGTCCCAGAATGGAATGCACAGTACGGGCAAGGCCTCAGGCAAGGCTTCTTTTACCCTAGCAGGCCTATGAGGAGCATGTGACAACGGAGGCACTGATAACTCAGGTTAGGTTAGAAACAAGCATGGTCCCTGGAGGACAGACCCAGTCTGACCACACGCAGCACAAAGGCAGCAGAGAAGATGAACGTGCCTTTGGGAGACATCTGACCTGTGCACAACTCAGCACCACTTGCCTATGCCTGCTCTGGGGACTGTGAGGACCACAGGGATGACTCCCCTGCCCTCTCTCTTCTGTGAGGTCAGCCAATAAGAGGCCCTGGTGAGAGGGCAGAAGGAGAATGAGGTTAGCATGTGTGTCCAGTGGCTCCTTCACTACCAGTGTTGTGGCTGTGTCCACTTGCCAAAGCCATTAGGTGGGCTCTGCAGGATGCCAGGGTCCTCTCCAGCCCTGCAGCTGCAGACAGGAGGGGCCTGGTGACTGCTCCATACATGCTGCTGTTGTCCCAGGGGTGCCCTGCCCCGCCCCGCCCTGCCATATTTCTCTCGCTGCTGCTGACATCTTAGTGAAGAGCCCCTTTATGAAACTCTTCACCCAGGCTAGATGTACACCCATCCCCTGCCAGAGCCCTGCTGCACAGATCTCACTTGGCCTATGCTCCTGATGCTCTAGACGTTGTCCCTGGCCAATAACCTAGTCAGCACAGCCTGACTCCAGAAATGGTCCCTCCTCTTCCCCATGCCTCCTTTCATTCTGAGGCCTGAATGGTATTAAGAGGTGGTAAGAGACCCAATGCTATTATAGGCTACTGGACTCTTTTAGAATATTTTGCTGAGTTTACACACCTATAATATTCAATAATGTAACTTAGAAAAAATGGGGTATGCCAATGAATGTCCATTTTGTATCTATGTATTCAAAGTGGTTGGGATAGATATATAGTTGCATTCTCTTAATGAATAGAATGATTTGTTCTAATGGTGTTTGTGAATAGGATCACAAGTCCG